AGCGATAGGGAGCTCGAGCCCTCTGCACATAGCTCTACCGATTAGAAAGTACTTCCTCATACTGTTGAGAACTCTGCGTTCTTGGATCCAGACCTACACCTGGGAGCACCTAGAACCAGACCTCTCACCTGCAAGAAAACAGGCTCCATGCGGCACCCCTTCCACCCTGTTTCCTTTACTTGGGGTCTATTTGCTTCCTCCCAGCCCAAATCATTCCTCCTGGGAAGGAATGGCTAGCAAGTGAGTTCTTTTTTTAAATTTAAATTCAATTTGCCAACATACAGCATAACACCCCATGCTCATCATATCACGTGCCCTCCTTAGTGCCCATTACCCAGTCACCCCATCCCCACACCCACTTCCCCTTCCATAACCCTTTGTTTCCCAGAGTTGGGAGTCTCTTATGGTTTGTCTTCCTCTCTAATTTTCCCCACTCAGTTTTTCCCCCTTCCTTTATGGTCTCTTTCACTATTTCTCATATTCCATGTATGAGTGAAATCATATGCTAATTGTCTTTCTCTGATTGACTGGTTTCACTCAGCATAATAGCCTCCAGTTCCATCCACGTCAATGTAAATGGTAGGTTCATCCTTTCTGATGGCTGAGTAATATTCCAGTGTATATATAGACCAGAGCTTCTTTATCCATTCATCTTTCGAAGGACTTTGTGGTTCCTTCCTCAGTTTGGCTATTGTGGACATCACTGCTATGAACACTGGGGTGCAGGTGCCCCTTCATTTCACTACATCTGTATCTTTGGGGTAAATCCCCAGTAGTGCAATTGCTAGGTTCTAAGATAGCCTTATTCTAAACTTCTTGAGGAACCTCCGTACTGTATTCCAGAGTGGCTACACCAGCTTGCATTCTTACGAACAGTGTAAGAGGGTTCCCTATTCTCCACATCCTCACCAACATTTGTTGTTTCCTGTCTTGCTAATTTTAGCCCATTCTCACCAGTGTAAAGTGGTATCTCATTGTGGTTTTGATTTGTATATCTCTGATGACGAGTGATGTGAAGCATTTTTTCATGTGCTTGCTGGCCATGTGCAGGTCTTCTTTGGAGAAATGCCTGTTCATGCCTTCTGCCCATTTCTTGACTGGATTGTTTGTTTTTTGGGTGTTGAGTTTGATACTTTCTTTATAGATCTTGGATACTAGCCCTTTATCTGATATGTCATTTGCAAATATCTTCTCCCATTCTATAGGTTGCCTTTTAGTTTTGTTGACTGTTTCCTTTGCTGTGCAGAAGCTTTTTATCTTGATGAAGTCCCAATAGTTCATAATTTTGTTTCCCTTAACCAGTGAGTTCTAACCCAACTCTTCTGCTCCTGGCCCAGTGTCCTGTCCCCTCATTCTCTAGATGTGGCAGTGGCTCGGTGTCCTAAATCCATGAGATGGTTCTGGCTGTTCAGAACCAGTTGGAAAAGGAACAAAGAAACCAAAATGGGAAGGGGGAGGAAAGCAACATACAAATAAGTCAGTGTGATCCCAACACTTATATATCTGCTAAGAAAAAATTACAGAGGGATCCCTGGGTGGCGCAGGGGTTTGGCGCCTGCCTTTGGCCCAGGGCGCGATCCTGGAGACCCGGGATCAAATCCCACGTCGGGCTCCCGGTGCATGGAGCCTGCTTCTCCCTCTGCCTGTGTCTCTGCCTCTCTCTCTGTCTCTCTGTATGACTATCATAAATAAATAATTTAAAAAAAATTACAGAAAGAAATAAGGCAAATTGATCATTATAATCCTCCCTTGAGGTGGGCAACCTGACAGTTTTTTATTGTATTTTTGCTTTTCTGTGTTTTCCTACAATGATCTGGTTTTTATGTGTACAATAGAGTGAAATAACGACCATTTAGAAGAATGAAATAAGTAAAATTACAAGTAGGCTTGTCCTGAGACCCCGTCTCAGTGCCCAGCCACCATCTGGTGAAGCACTTTGGGGTCTGGTGCTCCAGAAGTGGTCAGGGCTGATGCTCCCTGGGGGCTGACTGCACACCCTCCCACAGGCCTCCTACCACCATGCTGGTGCAGAGGACTGTGACTCATCCTTGCACTTGCTGTTACAGGGCCCAGCGTGAGCCCCTTGTTTTACAGACAGGGATTCATGCTTAGAGGGAGATGTTATAGGCGGAGTGATGGAACTGGGCCCCGACCCAACCTGATGCTAGTCAGTGCTTGCTCCTCTGGGGCTCAGGACAGGGATGCCAGGCCTGAATGGAGTATACTGGAGCCATGGGGAGTGCTGGCCCACCGGTCACCTGGCACATTCCATCCCAGCCATCCAGGGTCAGTCTTTGTCAGGTTCTCCCCTTGTGCCCCCAGGGCACTTTGCAGACCCAGGCACACAGTCAGCACCAAGCCAAGCCCTGATCAGAGGTGGAGGCCCTGGTTAGAACTGGGGTCAGACCAATGTTTATAGCAGCAATGTCCACAATAGCCCAGATGTCTATCAACAGATGAATGGATAAAGAAGATGTGGTACATACATACAACGGAATACTATTTAGCCATCAAAAAATGAAATCTTGCCATTTACAACGATACTATGCTAAGCGAAATAAGTCAATCAGAGAAAGATAATTATCATGTGATCTCAGTCATGTGGAATTTAAGAGACAAAATGGGATCACAAGGGAAGAGAGCAAAAAATAAAACAAGGTGGAATCAGAAAGGGAGACAAACCATAAGAGACTCTTAATCACAGGAAACAAACTGAGGGTTGCTGGAGATGAGGGGGTGGGGAGACGGGGTAATTGGGTGATGGGTAAGGATGACATGTGATGTAATGAGCACTGGGTATTATATAAGACTGATGAATCCCTGACCTTTACCTCTGAAACCAATAATACGTTACTTAATTGAATTTAAATAATTTTTTAAAAGATTTTTTTTAAAAAACATTTTTCTCGGGGATCCCTGGGTGGTGCAGCAGTTTGGCGCCTGTCTTTGGCCCAGGGTGCGATCCTGGAGACCCGGGATTGAATCCCACGTTGGGCTCCCGGTGCATGGAGCCTGCTTCTCCCTCTGCCTATGTCTCTACCTCTCTCTCTCTCTCTCCCTGTGTGTGACTATCATAAATAAATAAAAATTAAAAAAAAAAAAAAAACATTTTTCTCAGGGCAAAAAAAAAAAAAGGAGATAGGGTCAGAGCAATCCAGGCTCTGCAAACATGTGACCTATGGTCAGTCCAGGCTTCCATTTTTTGATGGGTAAAACCAGGGCAGAGAGTATTTGACAATGATTAGACTGGGTGGTCCTGAGTTTATACCCATGTTTCACATTCAAATATTTTGGGACTGCCCAGTGACACTGTCCCTGACCTGGGAAATGGAGGGCAGAAGCTTCCCATCTGGGCTGCCCCTCAGCCCTGGTCCCTGAGTGGAGAGTCTGGGTGAAGGACCAGTGTGAAGGACCCCCCAGCTGGCACGTGTATGTGTGTTTGAGCACAAGTAGGTGTGTGCACGGGTATGTAGGTGGAGGCGTGCCTGTGTGGGGGTGGGGAGTGCATGTGTGAGCAGGGGTACCAAAGGACAGGCTCCCCACTTTGTGTCTGGCACAGGCACATTCTCCAATTATTTCTCCTTTGAGATATCAGTCATTTCTTCTCCAAGACCCCAGCTCCCAGCTACCCATCCTACTCCCCCTTCACACCCCTTCTTATTCCTTTATCTTCTCTGCCTCCATCGCAAGCCCCTGGCTCTGTGCTCTTTCTCTGTCTCTGCCCAAAACAAGGTCCATCACTTTGGAGAGGCCACATCGCCCTAGTTGAACATGTGCGCTTTCCACCTGTGCCGTCTCTCCCTTATGACCTCCTTCCCACCACCCGCTCCATGCAGGTCCCTAGCCCTCTTCCAAGAGGTGCCCACCTTGTTCCAGACAGAAGAGAAGACGGCTTCTCATTGCACAATGACAAATTCAAACCCTTATCCTGCTGAGATCAGAATGAAACATCGGGAAGCTTGACACCACCACAATTTGTTGACCTACATTGCCTCTCTCTACGCACTGCACACATTTTAGTAAAAAATCTTAGAAGTGATTGGGGAGCCCTTTTATGGTACACCTCTGCGCTCATCCCAGTGCTTTGGAGAAAGGGCAGGGCCTTTTCAGAGCAGGAACAAAAAAACTCAAGGATGGTCCTTAAAAGGTTGGGAGTGGGGGGCACTGATAGCTCATGTCAGCACAGCCAGTGGAGTGCAGGAAGCCTTGGGGAGCACACGGAAACAACTCCCAGCCACCCTCAGTGCCCCGCCCATTTCACAGATGGAAGAAGGCAGGTTGAGATGATAGTTCCTGGGCTCTAAGTCCTGCTCCTGGCTTCTCAGGGAAGAAACTGAGAAGGTTCTTAGTTCTTCTAGAAAAACCCTAGTCTACTGAGGCAGTCTGAGCAGAAGAGAAGGGCTGAGGAGGGGGCTGGGCAGCCGGCCAGCGGAGGCACCCTGGCTTCCCCAAGGCCCATATGGTTGTGCAGAGCCTCCTGACCTTCCCATTTCTCTGGTTTGGGGCATAAAGCATAGCAGAGAGCTGGCTGGTGCAGGGTCCTCTGGGTGGGGGGTGGGGGGTCAGGTAAATGGTCCCAGGAAGCTGGTGCTGGGCCATAAGCTGAAGCTCAAAAGGGAATCATAGGCAGGAGCCTGGAGACTCAGCCAACAGGGCCAGTGGGAGCCTTAGTGAAGCCTGCCACCTTCACGGATGGTGAGACCTGGAGCAAGACACATTGCCTCGGGACACTTTGGCCTCTGCCCTGCAAAATGGTGACAGTCCTCACAGCCTGTCCTGCCTCCAGGACTGATGTAAGGATGAAGTGAGGCCAGACACGTGTGTGAGAAGTGCTGAGAAGCCATGCCTTGCTGGGCCCCATGCCTGGTGGTCCACAAGTGCCTCTGGAAAGGCTGCCACCAGACCACTCCACGGCCAGAGGGGCCGCCCCTCCCCCAGTGTCCTCAGCCCCTTCATGGACCCCAGTGGCACACCCCACCCCGCCCCCATGCTGCACTCACCCGCAGGGCTGGCAGGGAGCTGACCTGGTCTGTGGTCAGTGTTGCCTCCTTGTAGTACTTCCCAGGGGGACAGAGCTTCAGGAAGGTGTCGTGGATGCTAAGGAGAGAAGCATAATGATCTGGGGACGGCAGACCACGCGCCCCTCTCCTGCCAGCCTCTCCAGAGGAAGGGGACTTAGGGCTGAGTGACATAGTAAAGGCAGTTAGACATCATCCCACCCTTCTAGAAACATCCTTGAGGACTCCAGTGTGCCCAGCACACGCTGGGGCGAGAGGGAGGTGCAAAGATGAGCCGGGTGTGAAGAAAGGTATGTGAGTGTGCTCTATGGCACGGAATACACTCCAGAAGTGTTATAGAATGTTAGAGCTGCAAGGGACATCTGTGGTCCCTCAGTCCAGCCCCTCACTTGCAGATAGAGAAGCCAACGTGGCCCTGGGGAAGCCAGAGTGCCACCCCAGGCCATCTGCCCAGCCCTGCCCTTGGCCCTGAGAAAAGAGGTCACACACTGGGTGTGGCTGAGCCAGGATTAGAGCCCGGCTGCCAGCAGCCAGCAAACCACAGGCCCCTCTCGCCCACAGCCCAGCCCCACAGACCGCAGGACTAAGCAACCTGCCTATCTCCCCACCATCAGTGTTCGTGTTGTAGACCCACATGGTCATGGAGGCTTTGCTTGTGAGGGAGAGACGGAGTGTGAAGTGGCTGTGTGATCGTGTGGGGGGAGAGGGCAGGAGCCCCAGGCTCCCCTCACAAATACATGAGGATTAAACGAGGGGAAGCCTTTAAACTTCAACACTGTGCTTCTCCTCACTGTCCAACCTCTCAGCTCAGCTCAGTGCTAGGAGGCGCGCATCTGGCCAAGCTAATTCACACTCAGGAGTGAGTGACTAACAGCCCCTCACTGTCGTTTGCAGGGTGTGCGGTCTTTTAACCCAAATGAATCTCTGATTGGTGGGAGTTGGGGACAGGTGACTCAGTGAAGAATTCAGAGGTGATTTTATAAGTGGAGATTTGGAGGTAGAGAGGGAGGGGCTCCCCCTCCCAGTCCCCCTCCCAGGGTTTCTGCCTCAGTTTCTCTGGCCATGGGGAATGGAGATCCAATAACAGGAGAATTCAGAGCCATGAACGGCTCCCCATCTGGCCCCCTCATGTTTTCACAGCTCAGAGACTGGGAAAATGTCCCCTGGATCCCGGCTGTGGGAGAGCAACGAGGATATCAGCTGTGTCCAAGTTCCTTTTTTTTTTTTTTAAAGATTATTTATTTATTTATTTATTTATTTATTTATTTATTTATTTATGATAGACATAGAGAGAGAGAGAGAGAGGCAGAGACACAGGCAGAGGGAGAAGCAGGCTCCATGCACGGGAGCCTGATGTGGGACTCGATCCCGGGACTCCAGGATGGCACCCTGGGCCAAAGGCAGGCTCTAAACCGCTGAGCCACCTAGGGATCCCCTGTGTCCGAGTTCCTATTCTGTCTTTCTACCTCCTGCCCGGGCCCTCCTCTGCTCTGTCTGGTGCATCCCACCCTCTTGCCCTCTGGCTTCCTGATGCCTCCTGATGCCTCCAGATGCCCGTGGCCCAAGGGAGGCACCCGCTGGTGAGAGAGCCGGGTGGGGACCTGTCCCTCCCTCCCCCTTCCAGCCTAGGTACTCAGGGCCATGTCTGTCTGAGCCCTGGCTTCCACAGCTCCCGCTCTCTATTGGGCACCTCAGGCCTGCGGGGCAGTCCCTCAGCCTCTGAGCACACTCCCTTTGCTATAAAGGCCCTTCAAAGGCCCCTGCTGAGTGTCCTGCCTGTTACCCCCTTCCTGCTGGAATGCTGCCAGAACCGTCAGGGGGACCCATGTGGACCCTCTAGCTGTGTGACCCAGGCAAGCTGCTTGACCTCTCTGAGCAGAGACACCTGGACTCCAATCCTGACTCTGCCCAACGAGGAGATAATCTCCATCCCTGGCTCTATGCTGACACATGAGAGGGGCCTGGAAACAGGAGTCAGAGTGGCGCATGGCTAGTGGGGAAGGACAGGCCCCATCAGCCTCATAAGGGGCCCTGGACTGTCACCAGAGACTGCTCTGACAAGTTGGGGAGAGAGCTGAGAAGCAGGTCATGGAGTGGGTGAGGGGAAACGTTCCCCAGGGAAGTATGGAGGGCACTGAAGAGCACAGAGGGGGAAAGGCAGGCCATCGGCCCTGGAGTGCGGCCCCAGTCAAAAGGAGATTTGATCATTGTCCTCTTAAAACTGCTGGCCTGAGGTGAGAAAGAGCAGACTGACTTTCAGTAAGGTGCGCTGAGTTTTAAGACTTCTCTGAGGCCTGGGCACCCTGGTGGCTCATTAGGTGAATGGCTCCCTTTGGTTCAGGACCTGATCCGGGTCCAGGATCAAGTCCCTCATGGGGGTCCCCACAGGAAGCCTGCTTCTCCCACTGCCTATGTCTCTGCCTCTCTCTCTCTGTGAGTCTCTCATGAATAAATAAATAAAATCTTTAAAAAAAAATTTTAAAAAAAACAACCAAAAAGGAAATCCCTGAGGCCCTGCACCATGCGGCCACCCAGAGCAGAGCCTCCTGCTCCCCTGCCCCCCCTTCCCCAGTGGGAGTGGCCTGCGGCCAGCTGTCAACTCTCACAGATATTTTTCACCTAACCTGCATGACAGATTTGCAAGGAAGGAGCCATCATCTCTCCTTTACACATGAAACTGAGGCTCAAGGAGGTAAAATAACTTGCTTCAGGTCCCATGGTGGTACGGGTTAAATCCAGAGCTGCAGACACTGAAGCTCTTCACCGCCCCCTCCAGCCCCCGGGAGCCCAGAGAAGGAAGGTGTCAGGAGCACCCCTGGGGGGACCAAGTAACTGCCACTGCCTTCCTCTCTTATTTACCAAGACTACTCGCTGGATGCGCTCAAGCACGTTTTCTCCTTGATTTTTCCAACATTCCTGTGGGACAGGTGTAGGAGTGGTAATTTCTAAAGAAGGGTAAACTGAGGCCCAAGGAGCTTAAAGGGTGTGCCCAAGGTCTTAGAGGTTGAGAGAGAGTGGGGGCCGAACCCCACACCAGGTTCTGCAGGCTGTGCTGCGCACCCTTAAAGGATCCTCCCCCACCCAGGTGTGAGCCTGTCAGCCCCGCCCCCTTGGAGAGCTTTCTGGGGAGGGGTGTGGTGGGGAGGGCCTTGCCGGGACTTCATGCCTTCCCAGGCCACCGAGTGGGTGGGCTGCCCGCAGATGAATCGTGGCTGCATCTCGGCTGCCACAAAATGTTCTCCTCCTCCAAATATGGATCAGCCGGCTCTAAATGGAACTCTGAATTAATCACTAATGGACTCAAGAGTCAAAGCCATTTGAAAAACTCACACATTCAGCCTGCCAGAAATCAAGGAGCCTGTGCTGTGGCTCCCCCCCACCCCCAACCCCAGACAAGGGGAGGGACTGTCTGCGGGCTGAGGCCCGGAGACAGGGAGGCCAGCCCTGCAGCTCATGCTCTGGGGGACCTTGGACCTGCCATATCCCCTCTTGTGCCTCAGTTTCCTCTCTGTAAAATGAGAGACTTGGTGACCCCCACTGCCCCCTCTGGTTCAGGCATCCTATGACTATTTCTGTGCCCTTCTCTGCACCCTTGCCTCTGAAACCCTATTTAGTGATGGTCAACTGGGTCCCACATCGGGGAGCCTGTGAAAGTACCCTGTACCCACCCCTAGAGACTCTCATTCAAGGCCAGGGTGGCCGCAGGACTTCTATGTTCTATGAGCTTCCAGGTTCCTGTGTTCCTGGCAGGATGGACAACACAGCTCCAGTGCCAGCTTCCATTTCTACTCCTTTCTTCTGGGCTCAGGTTCCTGGGCCCTGGGGTCAATAGTCCTTTGCCCTACAGTAGTACAGCCTGCAGGTATTTTATAAATAGCCCTATCTCTAGCCTGAAAAGGTAGCTTTTATGATCTGCTCCTTTCAAGCTGTGTGGCTTGGGCAAACCGCTTCATTTTCCTGAGCCAGTCTCCTCATTTGCAAAAAAAAAAAAAGGGGGGGGGGCGGATAATAAAAGCATGAAAATAATAGCTAGCCCACAGTCAGCACTGATCCACACACCCACTGATGCCTCTGACCTCTGACATGCATTTGATCATTTAATCGTCCTAATAACAACCATGTGAGGTTAGGTTCCAGTACTTTTATCTCAGGCTTTTTATAAGTGTGGGAACAGGCTCAGCAAAGAAATTCACCCACGGTCACGCAGCAAGAAGTAGCAGAGCCCAGCCTCAAACCCAGGCCTTTGGCTTGAAGAGAGCAAGCTTGTAACCACTGTGCCTGCTGACCTGCTGGTGCTCCAGGAGGACCAGGTGCTAATGGCCAGGATGAGGCCTGGAGGCTGGAAAGGGCTGGGACCTCAGGGGTGCTGAGAGGAAAGAGTGGCCCTCATGGCTGGGTCAGCCTATGGCAGGGGCTAGGGGCAAAGGTCCAGGCTCCCCACGCAGACAGACCTACCTACCGAGATGGTGACCAGAGTAGTCCCTGAGCGATACAGAGCAGTCAGCTCAGACTGAGTCAGGCCTACCTGGGCTCCAACCATGGAGGTCTAAAGGAAACCACATGTGCCCTCTCTGGGTCAGGCCCCAGAAACCGAATCTGCAACTGTGGCTGCAGATGAGGACCTGGAAGGGCCTTTGCACTGAGCCCAAAGAGACATCTGGAAGTCAAGGGCTTCTCGTGGAGCAATTTGATCAGAAGTCAGGGAGGATTGACTTGGAGCTGAGGCCGAAAGGGACTTTGCTCTTTAAAAGACCAACAAGCCATGAAAGAAAAGCTCCACAGGCAAGAAATTTAGGGTGGACAGACCCCTTCTTGGAGAGCCCAGCCAAGGCAGCCTGGGATTGGGAAGAGGCTGGCTCTAAAACCAGAGTCTGTCACATGTGGTCTGCCCCTCCGGGGGTGCGTCATCTGCAGATCTAGTGACCAGGCCCTTGTGTTTTATGCAGGTCACAGATAAGAAGGTGGGAAAGTAAAAAAAAAAAAAAAAAAAAAAAAGATTGGAAAGTATTAGATGAAGGCAGAGCCACCCTCATCCAGAGGTTACTTGTGTCTATTAGTCTCTTGGATACTTTTTCCAACTGGACTGATCTCTCCAACTGCACCGTCATCCAGGCTGTATTTCTTTGTCACATTAATAGGAAAATCACAGCACGTCTTCAGAGGCCACATAGGACAATTGTCCAAAAGTGACTGGGTTTTAGTCTAGCCCAAATTGGCCACTCTCTCCCACAAGCACTACATGCCATCAGCTCCCTAAACCACTGCAAGTGCCACTAGGTGTCCATTTCAAAGCTGCCCCTTTACTTTGCAGACAACAAGGCCATGCTAGCACCGATGTTGTCAGTGGCCCAGGTCTCCTCCAAGAAGCTAACCTATGGAGTGCCTGGGTGGCCCAGATGGTTAAGCATCTGCCTTTGGCTCAGGTTGTGATCTCCAGGTCCTGGGATTGAGCCCCACGTCAGGCTCCCAGCTCAGTGGGGAGTCTGCTTCTCCTCCCTCTTCCTCTATTCTGCTCATCTGCACCCTCACCCCTGTATCCGTCTGTTTCAAATGAATAAATAAAAAATCTTTTTTAAAAAGAAGCTAACCTATGACCAACGTGCATGTGTGTGTCCTTCCAGACATGTTCTCTTTGCATGTGTATGTGTATGCACGTAGAAACTTTTATTTTACAAAAAAGGAAGTATCCTGTATATACCAGTCTAGTTTATCAAAATAACACAGTTTATTAATTTGTTATAATGGAGCACATCCTCCAAAAGCTTCCTCAGACAAGATGCAAAAGAGGTCATTTTAAAAAATAATTTGCAAAAAAAATAAATGAAAAAAATTAAAAATAATTTGCAAGTCAAAAAAGTTACTTCACTTTCACTCTTGATTAATAGTTTAGCTATGACTTAATTCTAGATTGGGATTCTTTTTTCCTTATGGTTTTGGAGGTCTTTAGCCCCTGTCTTCCAAGTCCCAAACCATTCTGATTCCCAGACCTCTGTATATCTTTTGTTTTAGTTTTTGTTTTCTCTTTGGAAGCATTTAGCATCTTCTCATTATCTCTGGTGTTCTGAAATGTTATGATGGCATGGTTTAGCACAGGTTTTTCAGTTTTCTCTTCAAATATCTAGTGTCTCTCAGCTTCCAATTCATACCTAACAAGTGAGGCTGGCAAAAGCCAACCAGAGGCTCATCCCAGCTTATCATGGGGCCTGGTGGCCCTGAGGCAAGAGCCTGTCTGCTCGACTCTGTCCAGTTGGGCTCCTGTCTTCTGATGGGCCTGGAAAGGGGTTCCAAGCGGATGGCAGGGCAAGAGAAGGAATCATAGAAGACTTTCAGTCACCCTTTCTGGACCTGGACACACCATGCCGTTCATTCCCTCTGCAATCCCATGAAGAGGGCATCTGTGGCCTCTCACACTGCATGACACCACTTGTCTTTGGCCCAGAGCCTTCCCTGCTGGACAATAACCTACATGACAACAGGCACTGTGGACTCTTCCCCGATATGTTCCCAGGGCCCTTGCAATGTCTGACACATAGCAGGCCCGGAATAGAGGCTTGGAGAGGGAGCTAGGTCTTAGAGCACACCCAGGTTTACCCAGCCAGCTTCAAACCTGTTTCCTAAGTCCTTCCATCATTCCCCCATCCCCCCAAGAAGCCTCATCCACTTCTGTGATTCTGTGAAGAAATCCTGCCTTGGATCCCCTAGTGGCTTAATGCCTGAGGTTTTGCTCAACTTGGCTTTTGGGCTCTCCCAGCTGGGGTCTGTGCCAGTCTCATTTCCAGGACTCTACAGTGCTGAGTGAGGCCCACACTCAGGAACCAGAATGAGATGTACCAGGACGAGAGCTCACCTCAAGGGCAGGGAAAGGGGCCCCTCTACTCACCACAGGATTTCATTTCTGGTCAGGAAGGTCAGAGCCTACAAAAAAGCACAGAGAGGTGACCTGCCCACTGCGAACAGCCCTGCTTTGGCTCCCCTGGGGAGTGGGGAGTTTGAGGGACTGGGGAGGAGATGGCCATTCTCTTATCTCGCAGCTTGCACAATGCAGGCACCCCAGTACTTGGCCATGGATCCCCCCAGCGGTTGGAAGAGGAGCAGAGGGTGCCCTTCCTCCCTCCCCATGCTTTGACAGCTTTAGGAAGGAGCATGCTGTCACAGACTGGGAGAGAGGATTGAAATCAAGCCTCAGGCCCTGGGCTTTGGAGCCAGAGACAGATGGGGGAGGAGGCCTCAGAGGACTGGTCTGCCTCTTGCGGATGCAGGTTTAGCAAAGGCAACAGCTTCCACGACCCTTCCACTCATCCCACCTGCCTCAGGAAGCTCCCCCCAGTTTTGCCCAGAACATCTTGCCTCATCCACCCACCTGGTATTCTTCAAGGTCCTCACAATGCATCTGGTGCCTCAAACATTGCCCCATGCTGACCCCACCCTGCTCTCTGCCTGCAGGAGAACCTCAGCCCCAAGGGCTGAGTACCTGAGGTGACCTGGTGATCCAGTTGCCATGGTAGCCTACATTCCACCTTCTGCCCATTCTACTTGAGCCTCTGAGTGGGCAAAGAAGCAGATTCTTTTGGCTCCCAAGGCTAATTGGGAACCTATTGTGCCCCAATACACAAGCAGCAATCAGAAAGGCAACCCAATAGCAGGATTAAGGATCATCCTGTTGGCTCAAGAGTCACCCTGGTGGGGTTCAAATCTCAGCTCTGTCACATTCTGACAAGACACATAGTCTTGGACAAGTTACTCAACCTCTCTGGATCTTAATTTCCTCATCTGTAAAATGAGGGTGTGGGATTGTTGTGAGGATTATCTGAGTAATACAGGTAACAGTGTTGGCCTATGATAGGTGCTCAATAAGGTGAGTTGGCTATTAGAACCCTATCCCAAACACTGTGCCAGGTTTGGGGACACAGTGATGAGTAAGCAGAGACTCTGACCTCAAGAAGTGACCCAAAGGGTGCAGAAAAAGGCATTCGCCCCATCAGCCAGGGTCCCCGCAGGAACAGAGGGCACATTCAGATCAGGATAACTTGAAGAAGTCCTAGTAGCCCACAATGGCAAGGTCAAGGTGTGGAGACCGCAGAATCCAGGTGTAACTGCAGAGCTGTGACCAGTCCTGGCCCAACACACATAGAATAAATACTCCAGCATAACTCTTTCTTCTTCCTCTGCTCTCCTGTGAGGACAAGGAGCAGGGTAAAGAGTGAATCCGCAAAGACAGAGAAGTCCAGCACGAGCCATCAATGCTACAGACCAGGAGGGTCCTCCCCAAACCATGTGCCCTGCCCCTGTGTCTGTATGCCCACCCTCCCTGCCACCCTCAGTCTCCTAGTTGAAGCCCATGTCTTTCCACACACTCTCCTAGGTAAATATCCCAGGGACTTTCTGATAGAGTTAATTTATATCTCCAGAAATGCGACTGCTCATTTTTCCTCATTGATCAACCACAGAGACAGAGCCTGATGGAAGAAATCCAGGATTTACTTGGGGACACAGATAAGGTGGCCACAGTGTGCCATGTACTTGCCTTGACCCTGGGAGAGATGAGTGAGTGGTTTCAGCCCGCAAGAAACAAATACTCGCTACACACACACACACACACACACACACACACACACACCAAGGGAGATTGAGCAGATATGACCAGAGGGTTAACAGTACAGAATTATGGGGATTCAGGAGTGGAAACATTGCTGGGCAGGCCGTCTAGGCAGCAGCAGTTACGTCGTTGTTACTATGCCATGGTTAAGAACATAAGCAGTCTGCACCGCCTTAGGCGGGCCATGAAACTCTTCTAAGCTTCAGGTCCCTCATCTGTAAAATGGGAACAATAAATCCCCACTTTATAGGAGGATTGCAAGGATACAATTAAATGATAGGTCTATAAAACTTTTACTTAGCAAGGCACCTGGTGCATAACGAGTGCTCAGTAAAGGGTAAATAATATTATTAATTTTAAAAGTTGGGCCTGGAAAAAGGGTAGGATTTTTTAGCAGGCAATGTCAGTCATTAAATCCCATCTTCTGGTAAGCCCTCTGTGCTCCTACTCTCATTTAATTGAGCAGCTTCTCTCTGCCAAGAGTGTGTGTGAGGTGGGCAGGGGGTGGCTCCGCCGTTCTGGGGAAGGCATATGTGGGTGCTGCCCAGCGATGCTGAGGGGTCGGTCACTCAGCCAGCCAGCAGGCAAGTGGGGATCTGCAGCGTGGCAGTTGGCAGCCTAGGGATTCCCATCTCGCAGGGCAGGAGGCTAGTGAGCCACAGAATCACACCCTGAAAGGCTGCTTCCTTCTCAAGCCTGGCTCAGTACCACCCCCCACCCCGCCCCATGACAGCAAGGTGCAAGTGGCAGCATGGCACTGGCTGGTGTGCCCTTTAACACCAAGTGGTTGACACTTGCTAAATGGAGAAAAACAAACTAGAAAACAGCCCTGCTACTCAGAGCTTTTAGCTATGTACTCAACCACTGTTTATCGAGCTCGGCTGTGGAGATCGTGAAGAAGACAGGCCCTGCCTGCGTGGAGCGAGGCACGCATAGGAAAAACACCATCCCCTAGATAGTGATGAGCACTGTGAAGACATAGAGCAAGGACAGGGGCTGTGTTGGAGAGGCCCCCCGGGGAGGCACCCTTTGAGCAGAGGCCTGAGTGCCAGGGAGAGGTGAGCCAGTCCAGAGCAGTTTGCTGATCCTGGGAGACAACAGCCTCCAGCTACACTTAAATAGCACATTGGTTTTTGTTCTATTTGTTTACATGGTACATTCCTGTTTGAAAATGATGCAGGTTTGCCATTTATAACTGTGATATAAAGCTTCCTTTATAAATATATTTAATTAAAAGAAATAGGAGCCCATTTAAAGAAAAGTATTAAATAAATAATCATACAGGTGGTAAAGGAACATGCCAGAAATCACAAAGGTCTTTCTGTGTCTCTGTGTCCCTGACTCTGTCTCTCTCTCTCTCTCTCTCACACACACACATAAACAACATTTGCAAACTCTACCCTCCTCTCTCCTTTACTTTTCATCCCTTAAGTCGTCCCTAAAATGCTGCACACCCTCACCCCCTACGCAGTCTCTGCCATTTCTTCCTAGAGAGGATTTTCACTGGTTCCTACAAATAACAATAGAAACAATGTCACCTTACATTTGCATATCCCTCTGTAATTCCAAAATACTTTTCTGTGTACCACCTCATTTGCCCAAGAAATAGAAGCCTATGTACCTTTAAAAAAAAGGGGGGAGAAGAGAATTCCCCCAAACTCATCCCACCTTCAGTACACTAACCAATCAGCATCCCCACCTGCCTCCAGCCTGTTGAAATTCAGACTCCTCTCCAGCTGGGGTTTTGAAAGGGGTGTGATTGAACAAGAGAGCAGGCCCAGGCCTGCCCAGGCTGTTCTCTGTCCTTCATTTCCAAGGTTTGCCACTGCACAAACCCTCCAAACTGTCCTCAGGGGATGGAACATGTTCTTTGCAAAGTTTCTGTCACCTTGAAGTGAACTCTGCAGATTTTAAACCGGCAACCCCTGGTCTAACCTTGATTTAGATATTTCTTAAAATCCAAAGGGGGCTGAAAAGGAAACAGTATCCAGAATATATAAAGAACTCTTACAACTCAACAACAAAAAGACACATAACCAACTAACAAATGGACAAAGGATCTGAATAGATATTTCTCCAAAAAAGACACACAAATGGCCAATGACTATATGAAAAGAAGCTCAGTGTCATTAGCCATCAGGGAGGTGCAAGTCAAAACCACCGTGAGATACCACTGCCCGTCCACTGGGATGGCCAAAACCAAAAGATATTAGGTGTCAGGGAGACTGTAGAGAAACTGGAATCCTCATATGCTGCTGGTGGGAATGTTAAATGGTACAGCCACTGTGAGAAAGAGTTTGACACGTCCTCAAACTGTTAAGCAGAGTTACCATGTGACACAGCGATTCCACTCCAGGCTATGTGCCTAAGAGAAATCAAAACACTTGTCCACATGAAAACGTGTACATGAACGTTCGTAGCAGCTGTCTTCATAATAGCCAAAAAGTGGAGACAGCCCAAATGTTCATCAACTGACAAATGTGTAGATAAAACGTGGTATATCTGTACAATGGAGCATTAGCTGGCAATAAAAATAAATGAAGTATTGATAGTACAACATGGATGAAGCTTAACAACATTCTACTAAATGAGGGGAGCTAGTCATCAGAGGCACATATTATATGATTCCATTTACATGAAACGTACAGAATAGACAGATCCATAGATGCAAAAAGTAGATTAGTGATTTCCAAGAGCCAGGGGGAGGGGAAATGGGGTGGGGGCAGTTTACTGCTAATGAGTAAGGGGTTTCTTTTTGGGTTGGTGAAAATATTCTAAAATTGGATAGTGGTGATGCTTGTACAACTCTGAATATAGTAAGAAATATCAAGTGGTTCACTTTAAGATTGAACTGTGGAATATGTCAATTGTATCTTAATAAAGCAGTTATTAAAAAAAATTTCAAGGAGTGTTGATGCCCCAACCTAGTGACTGGCACATAGCAGGCCCACCATATATATTGTGTGAGGAGCACATAAATGAGATTATATTTTTAAATAGTTTCAGATCTGTTTCCTCAGCCTGTGAGTCTTTTAGCCCAGAGGGTCCCACTCACTGTGGTTATTCAGTGGTAGGGCAAGGGTAGATCTTGCTGAAGCAGGTCATTGTCCAGCTTCGAACATCAACTAGATTTTTTTAAAGATTTATTTATTTATTCATGAGAGTCAGAGAGATTGGCAGAGACATGGGCAGGGGGAGAAGTAGGCTCCCTGCTTTGAGCCTGATGTAGGACTCGATCACGGGACCTTGGGATCATGCCCTGAGCCAAAGGCAGATGCTCAACCAGGAGTTGAGCCACCCCTGGGTGCTGAGCCACCCAGGCATCTCCAACTAGATTTTTGTTTGAGTTCCCAGCAACCAAGCAGACTGGAAAGCCACCCTTTGTCTGGAGAAAGGATTCCTTTGTTGTGGCAAGAGGTCAGGATTTAGATCCTGGACTCTGTAGAGGCATCCTCAAGCAGGAAGAGAGGAAAAAGAAGAAAGGTTTACCCTCCTGGTCTTGAGGACAAAGAGAATGGAGAAGATAGCGAGGAAGTCAGACTGTCATGAGCTCACTACTTCAGGATGAAGGTGCAGGGGTGTTTAGAAATGTCCCTGGGACCAGAGAGTCCTGGGAGCTTGAGTCATGCTTCCCTGAGCTCATTGATCATGGAGTGGGGTGGGGGAGGGAATCTGACACCTCTAGAAGTCTGTCTGATGTTCAGCCCATTTCCAGTATAGTGCAGAACAAAGGTGGCTGGGGAGGCATGACCAACGCAGGACTCCTGGCCTCCCTGGCCATGCAGAAGTTCTCATGTGTCCCAGGGAGAGGATTGAAG